TATCTAATCTCCAGGGAATAAGGCACAAGAATTAAAGATCTCTCTTCTCTTATTCTCTTAATTGTAATTTATTGCCTGTCAAAGCACTTCATTACTGGATGACCAGCTCTTTATTTTCAAAATGCATTTCAAATTGATATATCAAGATTAATTTGATTTTGTATAATGGTTTTTTTTTCAACAATCAGTTTGCAGAGTGACATAACACATAACTGCAATATATTTTTTTTTAATGCAGAAATAAAAAAAATTATAAAATGAAAAAAAAATGTTACAATGGAATTACAATGTATTAGTATTGATGTTTCATTTGGTTGCACCTTTGTTTCATTCATTAAGAAACATGATGAGCAATTATATTTCACTGCAAATTTTTGTAAGTAAATTGTGAACACCTCTGGATCCATAAAGTATTTTTGAATTGGCACCTTCTCTGAAAAACCCAGCGGGGGTATTTGTCCCTATTGGACAGTTCTAGTTTTATATGGTGCTGTGCAAATAAAGTCCCGGTATGACAGCGGTTTAAGACACATACTTTTCTGTTATCTGCAAATCTGCAGCTACATAATTATTAGATACACTACAATGCAGTGACGCAAGATTGAATGTGGTTCCCAACCGTTTGATTTCGATATTCATCTCATTAAATTTCATTCATGATTACTCAGTAACTGGAGGGCTACATAAAAGCTTTCTAATATTATAAAAATATTTTAAAAATGTTCAATCTATATATTTGATAACAATAAACACGAACCAAAGCCAAGTATCTGATAAAATCTTGAAATTTCTAATCTGAATTGGACTGGATTATACCTGCACATCATTCAAAAGTTATGGAACGCCATCACTGCCTTATAGCATAAAACTATGCATTCATTATGTCAATCTATCATTACGTGATGTGAACATATCTTTACGTTATATCATTTTTTATGGGGTGATGTAAAAATATCTCTACATCATGTCAATGCTGCATTACATGAAGTAAACACATTCTTCCATTATGTCGGCACTTTATAACTTGAAGACCAAAGTTCATTATGTGAAGTGAAAATATGTTTACATTGTGTTAAAACTTAATTACGTGAAATGAATATTTCTTTATATTATTTCATTTCTTTAATATGTGAGATCAAAATTGCATTACGTCTAGTTAATTTCGTTTTACATGTGTTCTATGATTAAATTTATCATTACATTTAGTCAAAGTCCATTCCCTTTTGTGAGTGTATATTTCTATTAAAGCAAAGCATTATTACGTGATGTTAATGTATCTTTATTTTACGCCGAGGTCATCACAATGTGAGGTGAATACATCTTACCTTTATGTCAGTTCTTTATTACGTGATGTAAAAAGGTTAATAACATAATATGAACATGTATTATGGAGAAGTCCCGGCGTTCCATATTATATCAACACTTTATTACGTTATGTCAAAACTCCATTCCTATATGTGGATATTTAATAAGAATATGTTAACTCTTTCTTACGTGATTTAAAACTATCTTTACATTGTGTTAATTCTTTATCATGTTGATTACAAATGTTCATTACGCGCTGTAAAATACATTTACATTATGTCAAAGTTGATAACCGTGTTTTCAGGACTGGGAAGGGGGGGGGGGTCCTGATTAATTAGGACGAATTACGGACACATTATATGAGGGGGGGGGGGGGTCTGACTTCCTCTTTTTCCGACATAACTTTATCATAGAAAATGTTCATTGAAATTCAGTCCCACTTTTTGCTGAAGTATAAGGGTAATGTAGTATATTTGGATTTTTTTTAAGGACTGATCGAAGTTGGACCCACGCCCCCCTTTCACCCGAAATAGGATTTTCGAGTTTGGATATTTTTTTTTCGCTTTTTCTTGTACGTTATTTTTTTCTGGCTGACAAACCTCCCCCAGCTTTCAAAAACAATGCAACGTCCACTGGAATTAGTAATTTTTCAACCATTCCAGGACCAGAATTCTGTTACAAAAATCTACGTTTTCACTTAAATCAATTGACCATGCCTTAGTTAACACGGGCTCATATCAGTTCTTGAAAAGAGTAGCTATAGGGGGACGATATGGTGTCTAAGTTGGGGACCAGGGGGTGAAAACCCGGAAGTTCTCAGGCTTTAGATTTTTTTTAATAAAACGTTTCAACTTATTTCAGTTACACTTTATGTAAAACTAATGCAATGTCCTACAAAGTAAAATCAATTGATTAATTTCATGCATATTTTGGTCACTAAAGATAGGAGGGTGGGATCCTCCCTTTCCCCACCGACCCACCAGTGCACGTATGAAATACGATATGTATTTACACTTTTTTTTTAAAAAAAAGGAGGGTTAAAGACAGATAAAAAGCTTAGGACAGTGTTTTGTAGTTGGATCAGAAGTTTCGGACTTTTCAAATCGTCAATAAAGATTCCATGGGAACATGATCCTGTTTTTAATTTAACCTGATATTTAATTAAGGATTAATTAAGTCTTGTGTATAATTTAATATTTGATACGTTTAATTTAAATTATTTGCATGTTTAACATATGTGCATAACCTAAACCTTACGTCACATAATAAAGAGTTGAAATATTCTAAGATATACTGACAAGAGGCTAAGCATTTTAGACACAATGTAAAGATACAATGGCATAACATAATAATGATTTGTCAAAAAGTAAGGGAAAATTGACATCATGTAATAGATTCCCGGCGTCATGTAGCATATTGATGACACAATATAGTAAAGAATTGGCCACCTGTGACAATTTTTTTCACATCATGTATGAAATTCTGACATCGTGTTATAGCGACTTGATATTGAATTAAAGATAAATTCACATCATGTAATGAACTACTTAGACCAAATAGTAGAGAGTGCACATAATGTAATAATGAGTTTAAATTCTATAATAACATCTTTACACCACGTAAAATTGTTTTGACTTAATGTCATAAAGAGCTGATATAATGCAATGGAAGATTAGCGCAATGTAATTGAAGTGCGAGTTAATGCAATAAAGACTTAACATAATGTAATGGAAAGTTGACATAACGCAATAGTAGTGTGACTAAATGTCATAAAGAGTTGACATAATGTAATGGAAAGTTGACATAATGCAATAGTAGTGTGTGTAAATGTCATAAAGAGTTGACATAATGTAATGGAAAGTTGACATAACGCAATAGTAGTGCGTGTAAATGTCATAAAGAGTTGACATAATGTAATGGAAAGTTGACATTTATAACGCAATAGTAGTGTGTGTAAATGTCATAAAGAGTTGACATAATGTAATGGAAAGTTGACATAACGCAATAGTAGTGTGTGTAAATGTCATAAAGAGTTGACAAAATGTAATGGAAAGTTGACATAATTAACGCAATAGTACTGTAAGTAAATGTCACAAAGTGTTGACATAATGTAATGGAAAGTTGACACAATGCAATTGTAGTGTTCTGCTATAAGGCAGTGACGGCGTTCCATAAAAAGTAGATAACTCGAGATTGGTCACCGACTTCTTTTTTAATTTTTCACATATGTACTTTACCTTCTTTGGTACACAGCAAAATTTTTGGAATGATGTTAGAGAGAGAGAGAGAGAGACTGAACAATTTAAATGGATGTAAACTTTCATCTTTTTATTGAGTAGTTTTATGGTTCTTTTTTTTTTTTAAATATCGTTTCTGGTTAAATGCATCCGTAAATGTATTTTTCAAAATTATTTTGTTTATCTACACTTGAAATGAAAGATTGCAAAAAATGAAATGCATGATCACATGTCAAATACAAAAAGTAAGATTTAATTAAGGATCTCCAACCCTTATGGATCACATTCTCTATTCTCAAATAACAATCAAGTACATAATACTTGACTGATATTAGATTAAAGGGGTTTATAGTAGATTAGAAAAGGATTTACCGAAAGTTTCAGAAAGAAAGAGGGCGTACATGCGGGGATAATCCCCCGCTCTGGGGTATGTTTCTCATTTTTCAAAATTCACGGAAAAGTTGTATTTCTCTAAAATCATGTTTTCGATAATGTCATCTTCAAAACATTTTATAAATTAATTTTACTGAATGACATATCATTTGACAACCTTTTTTTTCCCAAAGTTGACAGTTAATCATATTTAGTGGAAAATGGGTTTACTGCAGTAATGCATACAAAATGAAATTTGAACATGCATGGGTCAAGTCTCCATTCTTCGTTAACGCTTGAATGGTAATGTAAATGTGAAATCTATTACATTTGTCCAAAAAATGGAATCTGAACCCATTCTATATGAAAATCGAACATTTCTGAATGAATACTCTTCAACAAACCCGTCCATTTAAATCACACTTCGTAGCGTAGTGCATGGTTAACGCTGTCGGTCTTGCACCAAACCCATTGCTATGGAGAGAGTTCGAATGCCACGTGAAGATTTTTCTTTTTTATTGTTTTCACATATCTTAAAAACATGAGTGAAAATTAATAAAATATTTAAACAATGAAATACAGAATTGAATTTGTCAAAGATGATATAAACCATATAATTTTGAAAAATGCATGTATAGCTTTCATGAACTTTTAGAATTGAGAAATGTCTTTTCTCAGAGCGGGAGATTGTCCTTGCGTTGTACGCCTCCATTCTTTAATGAAATAATTATAAGGCTAAGCAGTATTTAATTAACAAAGATTGCATTGAAGTCTATGAGAAAATGGTCCATCTTGCGAGTTTTATTCAAATTAACAATTTGAAACTCCTTTTCCTAAAAATGTGTAAAACAAATGAATGGACATATGATCATTTTCAACTTCAGATTGAAAATTTAGAAAAGACAATAGTACAACGAAAGAATAGAAAAAAGGACTTTTCATTCTCTTTAGACAAATGGACAAGGCTTTCGCCTACATGGATGTAGGCGAAAGCCTGTCCACTTCTCTAAGGCCTAAAGAGAAAAAATTAAGGTACTTTTAACGTACTAAGATTGACCTTTCGACATAAATCACAGAAAAAAAACATGGAACAATGATAACTTTATTTAACACATTGATGTCAGTTGGACAATATCAGTGTTGAGAAAGTCTTTTTCGTCTTCCAAGCAGCCATCCGGAACTCCCCGGCTCTTTGTGTTGTGTGACGGAGAGCTGGAGGTCCAGGCAAACCAGCTGTTTCCCCGTGGCGTTCTCGTTCACTTTTACATTCACATGGTAGTCACCCTATAATAGAAGCCACGTCAGATATCTTAATCAACCACGACTGGAAATAATTTCGTTTAAAAAAAAAATATTTTTTAGAGAAAAGTGTTAAGATTTTTTTTAATCCTACAGGTTAGGATACATGTAGAGGTACACATGTATAATTAGCCACAGTTAAAAGTAACAATCATACAGTTTATATACAGTGTATAAACTTGATCAAGTACCGCTGCAAACCAGGTGAGAACAGATGGAATACTTGGGATACTGATGGTGTAGTCGTTGATACGGAGATCCCTAGCGGGCTGGGGACACTGACTAGCATTGACCCCCACGCTGCTCAGCATAGTCTGGATTTGTTTACCGATACCCCCCATTATTCCAGCCCAGTCCTCGGTGATCATCTGGTTAACCGTTGTACAAAGATCATTGTACGTACTGAAACAAAAAGGTATGTAGCACATCACAAAGGTGGAAAATTTTACCATCATTCCGTCTTTTGGAAAAGTGGAAAATTCTCTCCGATCGAGACACAAAACAGTTCGTACATAACATTTCTACGATACTAACCTGTATGAGAGAGAGAGAGAGAGAGAGAGAGAGAGAGAGAGAGAGAAGGGTGGGCTTTACATATTCTAAATAAATTACCAGGAGCCGACGTGGAGCAGACACGGGATCGGAACTTCCAGTCCTAGAAACGTTTTCCTTTTAACAGAGAGGGACATTCTTGAGCTTCCAATGGTATTTGTCAGACTGGCATCAACGGAGAGATGTATGTCACCCGGGACCTGCACCGGCATAGGGGTCACAGAAACGCTACGAATAACGACATCACTACTGGAACCTGAAAACATATCACCATGGTTTGGAAAAATAATCACAAAAATAAAATACTACTAGACTGATAAGTATAAATACATGAATATATACTTAGATAGCAAAAAATATATAAACACATGACTTTCTTCATTAACCTAGCTAATTAATGCCTTTCTTATCCCAGTATAGGTTGTAAAATTTAAATAACGTGTAATTAAATAACTAGTTCCTCAACTTCAGCATTATTTTATTTTTTTAAAAAGTAAGCTGCGGTTTCTTCAAAGAAAGAACTCAATCTTCCTCCCTCCAGAGAGAGAGAGAGAGAGAGATTGTTTGACATGAAATTTTCTGGCTGCAGATTTGACGTAAAAGAAATTACTGTCGTCTTCTCTAGAAAGAAAAAAAAGTTCATAAGAAAGAAAAAAAAATAGTTAATAATTTTCAATTCCATTTGTTTACATCATCATGTTGGTAACTTGATGTAAATGTGCGGTTAAAATAAGAAATCAAATGACAGACGCGGCAGAAAAAAGAAATATTACATGTATAACATAATTGCAAGCAATGCAGTTTTATATAAAATTCGTTATAATTCCTGGATTTGTTTTCTCTGCATAGAGAATATTTATCAATTTTGAGTTACATAAACGTCTTGTAGTACTATTATCACATGGGTTATTAATTTCTTTTATGGGATAAGTAACACAGTATATAATTTATAATTTAAAAAAATACCAAATTGAAATCGAATATTGTAATACACAGGGCAGTAATGTACAAAATGATTTTTTTTTTTCATTTTCAACCAATAATTTGGAAGCATAGCATAAACGGTTTTCCTTAAGGATAATTGGTTTACGGTAACTGCCTGTTTCAATGAATAGTGATTGTGCACTGATTCTTAATTTTGTTAGCTGTGATCCTTCATGCTTTTTTTTTAAAGGAAACTTTAAAGTAATCCTGCAATTTCATAATCATTACAGTTTAAGATTTTACTACTGAAATAAAGTTTTCCAATGTTAGAAGTTGAAATTTTGCTCAATTAATAATAATGAAAAACTACTGTCATGTATTTTTTCTTTTATCTAACTATAATATACTAGTTACATTTTGTTTCTTTAAAAAAGGGCCCATTTAAACATAGAAAGGTTTCCCGGCGTCAGGGGCAGTTTACTGCACTTCCCGTCAATGGAAGTCAACTCGCTAAAGACGTACCTGCAAGATTAGAAATTTGTAAATATCTGCTCTAAAATTACCACAGTCGGTCAACTGAAGTTGTGTTATTTCGGCCAAAGCCAGAGAAAGTCCCACCAATAGACAGAAAATGCTTCCCCCATCTTTCTTTCTTCACCTTCTGATTGCGAATACAGAGCAAGTACACCTGGGTAATAGAGAGAACAAACCGAGTGAAATGTTCGACCAACATTCAAAGATTTGAAAAAAGTTAAATTCAGTTAGAAAAACTATATTTTTTCAAGGGCATCAAATTATACTGAAAGACATTATAGTGTAAACCGATGTTTATCCAATATCGGTACGCATATTTTCGGATGTTTTTTTTTCCAGATGTTCTTCATGCAATAGGTTATATGAATATATATATTGCTTGACATATATGTTTTTGATATCATTTTATTCTTTTTATTATCTATTGTAAAATAATCAAAAAATGCTATTGTAGTACAAATTTCAAATAAATTTAATTGTCAACATTCCAAATATCGATGCTATATTTATACCACCACGGAGACATGCTTGAACATTTTGTTGGCGTGGCCTTCGCGTGTCTCAGAAGAAAGATGGACGTTCGTGACGATGCAGACATGTTTGTTCAAAGAGCAAACAAAAGATGGAAAATTAGGTCAAATAGCAATAAATCTAAGATATACTGCACCTAAGAACAATAAGTGACTGATAAGAAACATTAATGTTTTTACTTTAATTAGTAACAAATAAGAAAAGGTGCGCAAGGCATATGCTACTGGGATATATAATAATTATGAACAAATTAACCTCCACTATTGTACCCAGAGTACAAATGTAACGCTCATCCTCATCCCATTGCTGAATTTTATTTGATGCATTTCTCAGACTCTGTTGAAAGACATATTTCGAAATGTATTTTACCAATTATCAATTTATCAAACTGGCATTCAGTCGATATAGATGAGCGACCCGATTTTGAACCTAATTAATGAATGCTCCGATATTTTTATCAAGATAGCAGTTTGAAGGTGTTTTTTTTTTTAAATAAAAATGTTCCACTAGAGGAATATGCCAAAGTTTGATTATTGTCCAATTAAATGTACCTTGAATTTAACATATAAGTATATGGACAGCGCATGTTATTTAAAGATAATGTAAATATTAATTAAATTTGAATTTCAAACAAATCTTTTAGTGAAAATATGTATAAACCCTCTCTTTATTAAACTATGATTGACCTTTGAGTTTGATCTACTTTTAAAAAACTTTAACCTTGGTTATAACTTTTGAACGGCAATGGCTAGGGCTTTTATTCTTCACAAATGTAATCTTTGTGACAAGAAATAAAATGAGTCACTTAACAGAAATTTTCACAAATTAAAAGTTTATTCGATCTTTTCATCAAGGGAAGATAATTCTTCAAAAGCGTTTCTAAAGATCCATGAGGCGCCGTTTTGGTATTTACCGCCAAAAAGTGATATCACCTATTTGAATAGGTGATATCACTTATTCGAATAGGTGAAATCGCCTATTCGAATTGAGAATATCACCTATTGAATTCATTTCCAATAGGTGATATTATCACCCATTTGAATAGCTAGGTGATATCACTTATTCGAATATAGGTGATATCTATGGCACGCCAAATTCACAAAAATGAGATAAACCTAGTTTCACAATTGATAAACTAGGTTTATCGACTGTAAACTATAGTTTACAAACCGTAAACTATAGTTTAAGATTCGTTAAGTATAGTTTTCATCTGTAAATCTATATTTAACGGTCGTTAACTATAGTTTACGAATGCTAATCTAAGTTTATCTGTCTGAATAAAGCGTTAACAATAGATTTTGTTGATAAACATAGATCCACGTTTGTAAACTATAGTTTACAATCGTAAACTATAGTTAAGAGTTGTTAATCATAGTTTCACAAATCGTGAAACTGTATTTATCAGATCGTTAACTATATTTAACGGTTTGTAAACTATAGTTTACAAATCGTGAAACTGTATTTATCAGATAATCTATGTTTTTCAATCGCAAATAATTGTTTTCCGTGTTAAGTATAGTTTGCGGTTGTGAAACATAGATTATCGCGTTAACTATAGTTTACAGATGTAAAATATAGATTAACGTTGTTAACTATAGTTTACAGTCCGTAAACTATAGTTTACAACCGATAAACCTAGTTTATCGATTGTGAAACTATGATTTGCTCATTTTTGTGAATTTGGCGTGCCATAGATATCACATATTGGAAATGAATAGGTGATGTCACCTGATCGAATAAGTGATATCACCTATTCAATTTGAATTGGTGATATCACCAATTCGAATAGGTGATATCACCTATTTGAATTTCTTACAACAATACATAATGAATGCTCCTTTTTATATATAGATAACCATCAAGAAAATTCGGACTACCCAGTTTTCATGAGTTTTTCACGATTTTTCTTATAGTATACGTGATAGATAAGTGAAATAAATGAATCTGTGAGGAAAGCAAACTACGATTTCTACTAGGGTTGCTTAAAATTAAATGAAATATTATAATCAATTGTTTCCTAGAATGGTAAAACGAAAGTGAAAGTAAGTAAGATTTAGGGATGTATATATAGTTTTGGGAGCCATTGTTATTTCATAAATACTCGTAATTTGAACAGGGAGCTATCACCTATTCGAATAAGTGATATCACGTATTCAAAATGACATGGTAATATCACCTATTCGAATAGATTATATAGCCTATCTAATTTGAATAGGTGATATATATCACTTATTCAAATGAGTGATATCACCTATTCCAAAGGAATGGGTGATATCACCTATTCTAATTAGTGATATCACCTATTCGAATAAGTTATATCACCTTTTCGAATAGATGATATCACAAATTTAAATTAAATGTGTGATATCACCTATTTGAATAGATGATACATGTATAACTTATTCGAATAGGTGATATCACCTATTCAAAATCTGAAAAGGTGATATCACTTATTCGAATAGATGATATCACTAGTTGAATAGGTGATATCAACTATTCGAATAAGTGATATCACTTTTTGGCAGTATAATTAATACCAAAACTGTGCCTCATAAAATTCCCAGGTTAGCTTGGACTTTCGGGGCTATATTTTAGGCCTTTCTCTTGTAAGTGTGTACTCTTTATGCTCATTTGGGCACTGAATTAGTAATAAAACATTAGTTTTTGTCAAATGGCGAATAGGTTCTCATTGGTGAAGAAATTAATAACATCAGGAACTTTAAATTGTTGTTGACAACGATGAGACGAATTCTTTGCTGGACGAGACAATGTTATTAGCTCACCTGAGCCGAAGGCTCAAGTGAGCTTTTCTGCTCAAAATTTGTCCGTCGTCTGTTGTTTTTATCGTTATCTAGCAATGTATTTTTAACTAGTTTAATTAATATCATTCAAATTTGTTCAAAATTTCTTCATTATACATTGAATACCTTAACCTACATAATATTTTCAAAATAGTGTTAAAATAACTTTAGAAATAAACCAGAAATTTCTTGACAATCGAAAAAAGGTAAACTCATTTCCCAAGCTTCATACCAATGAATTTTCATACATGTGCCAATTTCAGATCCGTGTCTTCGAGGAGGGGTTCGTGTTTTATTGGGGGTGGGTGGGTCCAAGGTCATTTTTTACTTGGTTTAGTATATGAATTTAATATTAACTCTGACAATTCCAAATCATATGGGAGGAGGGCTGCTCGCGCCGTCTAGATCTGTGCATATCCTGTGTTTACTAGAAAAAGTTTGTTAAAAGTATGTAAATATTATTATGTGTGAACTATGTTTAAATCTATTTCAATTTAATAAGTGATCAATAAAATAAACTTATTTCAAGAAATACGAATTAGTCCGTGTTTGAGTTATTCGTATTAGGTACTATTTTTAGATCTTTTGACATGGATGACTGGCAATCGCATCATCTCGGATCGTTCCGTCAGAGGTCGGAAAAACATACTCATCCCCACTTTCAAAAGTGAGTTATCTCCCCTCAAAATCGGAACTCTTCAACACTAGCATAACTTCCGCGGACTACATGTTACGATAATCCAACAAAATAGTGATCAACTTACACGCTGTATTTAAAATTTTAAAAGAAGGAAACGGTTTGCATTTTTTTAGATAATAAATTATTTTATAAAGGGTCTGTTAGCCCCCCCCCCCCCCTTTCTAGAAAGCTATACGAATTAGCCAGGCACGTAGCATCGTCTTTAAAAGGGGGGGGGGGGGTTAGCCAAAGAAATATTTTTTTCTTACCTGGAAAAGTTGGCAAGCAAAGAAAAACCTTGCCCAAAGTTGAAAAAGCTAATACTTATTTCAGTACCAGTTCCTTGGCATACAATACTACATTTCCCTTATATAACTTTACCGTAGTATAAACTGAGTGTGTGTGGGGGGGTGGGGGGGGTGGGGGGTTGACAACCTGTCTATCAATGAACATTTTCAATAGAAAAAGTAATATTGGGAAAAAAGTGGGGGTTGGGCTAAACCCCTTGACCCTTCACCCCCCCCCCCCCCCTCCGTGCGTACAGGTACAGAGAATATGTAAATGGGTTGAACAGTTGAAAATGAACCAAAGTTGTGAAAATTAATATTATTATTTGAATTTTTAATTGTGAATTCAATAAAATTACGGTACATATATTTTTTCACAGATGTACATGTATGTCAGGTACACGGAGTCTCTCTCTCTCTCTCTCTCTCTCTCTCTCTCTCTCTCTCTCTCTCTCTCTGATATTGTTTATTTACACACTTTGCAAAAAAAGAATAACTTATAAAAATAAATACATGTACTTACACTGAAAGGATTTAAAAAAAATAAATAACACTTGAGAAAAGATTGTTTTCAGTTAATTAACGAGAAATACGCTAGGAAATTATTGTATCAATTTCGTGTTTCTGCTCTCAATTCTCTGATCTAAAACAAAATGTGTATTTTACTCGGGAATATACATGTACATATGCTTAGATCCTACACTAAAACTTTGATTAAATGCAGCTCAGACTTTATACGACATATGTAACACGAATTCAGGTCGATGCTATTTTAATTAGTCTTTCTTCGTTACATGAGCACATGAGATTAAATTACTCATTTAGAATTCCATTCAAAGTTTTAATACTAAATTGTGAATCAATTATTTTACAAATAGGAAATTCTAGAAACACGGTTAATTCAAATGAAATAGGCCTTTAATTGTCACCAAATGTGTTCTTGTAAGTAAAAGTTCTATGTTATGACATACAATCGAGCAAAAACGCAGTTTCTTGGTATCGGTAGCGGAAGACGAACTACTGCTGTATATGCAGCAATTTCAGAGGTAAAACTGTAGATGGACATGTCATCAGTCTTCAAAAAATTCCTAGAGATACAATGAAAATATGGCTGCAGCAGGCTAGATTAATTCGTAAAAACTTTATAACTAAAAATTTGTTCCGCACATTTTGTAAATAATGATGATCCGTCTGCAGAACATCCACTACCGAAAATTAGCTTTTTTGTTTGTGTTTTTTTTTAATAGGCCTATTCGAATATGTATCAGCATTTTAATAGTAATTTGTTTCTTTTTTTTGTAAGGGGGGGGGGGTCACACAGCACCTTATTAGAGTACTACACAGATTAATACAAATCCAGAAAGAGACTATGAGTGGGCAATTTAAAAAAAATACGAATCAGTTAAGATTTCTTTTTATTCACAAACACAATAACATTTTTCCATATGACAGAGGCATACACCATGAACATGTTTACATCAAGAACGTCCGCGGAAGTGACTTTATTTATAGCGCATGCGTATTAAACACAGTAAAAGAGTTCCCTTCAGGGGAAATAACTCACCTTTTGAAAATGGGGAAACATTATCGGATGTTAAAAATTTATACATTTCCTGTTTATTCAAATATAGGAAAGACGGAGTTAGAAGTCCCTTCTATAATATATTTTAGGTAATATCATGACATTGAATAAAGTTCAACTCCATATTCCACAGATAATAGATCTCTATATGCATTTATTTCAAAGATCATAAAAAGGGAGGGTTGTCATGGCGTCTACCATATACATTCGAGGTCGTTTTTCCGCTAGTCGGAAAGGCCCGAGAAGGTGCGATTGGGATGACTGGTTTTGATTTCTCGTTGGTTATCTTGATTCCGTGCTGGTTGTTCCCGGGTGAGGCAGATTTTGACGTTCATTCATATTTTTCATTTAGTCAACTTGTAGAGTTTGGGTGTTTGGATTTAAGAGTTGTTTTATTAATTTTCTTATTTTTAATATTACGGAGTGTATGTACTTATTTTCATTTATTTCATTTAATTATTACCACTCGAATACGTATGTATATGGCGAGACCGTATATTTTGTAAGAGTGCAGTCAGTTTAATAAAACTTTTAAATCCAGTCTAAAGTTATTTTGTTAAATTACATATTAAATAATTGCATTTTTATCGTAATTCAGAGTATTATTTCACAGTCTTTATTGATAGATTGACTGAGTGAGCAGGAACACCTAACGACAAAAGATATGATTTTAGATTGGCATGTTAAATGTTTGTTTATAAATACACCATGTACTGTTTCTAAATATTTTTGCTACAGGGTTATATAATGTTTATATCTAAATAAAGTCTTCAAAGAACCCAGGCTGTCTGATCTTTGTTATTCTGGGAAAAACAGGGGTTACACGTGGACGTGGAGTTACCATGATTACCGAGCAATTCTTACATTTAAAGAATCCAGTCTGTTTATCAGATATATTTTTCTTTATCTTTATAATCAAAATGATAACAAGAAATTTTAAACTATTTATGTTTTTTTTTTCATTGACGAAGAATCTTTTTTTTTCCAGATGACACATTGAGACCGACTTACCTTAGGGTCGATTTTACTGGAAACCGGTTAACTTTTTTTTTTGCTTGTATCACGTGATCGGTAATTTACAGAGGCCGATGAGCCGAAGCAGGATATTGGACCACCGTGACCATCATGACACGTTTACAAACGTCAACATTGAGATGATCGAGAGGGTAAGTTTGTTTTCATAAAAAAAAGAATTTCAGTAACTGATTTCAGTTGACATAGGCCTATAACGATTGACATGTAAAATGTCGCGCTGTATCGATACTCTGTTAAATTAGGCTCATAGTCATACTGGCGTGCCGACTGACAAGTAAATCGATTGTAATGTACCCAGCAAAACTTTAAGCTCTCTGCTTGAGAAAATTCGGACAGATAGAGCGGATAGCTATAGACCCAAGCGTTGTAAAACGGTCCTACTAAACAGAGTACGTTATGCTAGTAGATCTACGACAGAGTAGGCCTACTTTAGAGTACGCTAATAAAATTTTATAATTTAAGGATGTACAACACACCTGCCCCAAAAAAATCCTGTCGTTTAATTTTCATTATTTTTGTATATTTAGTACATGACTATATCTACTGCATGTATGCACATTTTGGACAAAATCGTTCGAGTGGTTTTTGGACAGGAACTTTCAAAAGTTACCCCCCTTTAGTTGTTTACAAGGAGAGAAAATTTGTAATCAATGAACTACTTAAACCTTGATTATCAAAAAAGCCAGGTTAGATATAAATGTCAAATTTCATTGACTTATTCCTTTAACCATTTAACACAAAAGCATAGTCATTTTTTTTATATACATATCAACAAAGCAATTTTTAAAGACCTTAAACTGAAAAACTATGAATTATCTAAGCCTTGAAAATTGTGTATTTTTCAAATTCAAAATTTTTTTGTGAAAAACCCTGTCGTTTAATTTTGGTAAAAAACTCTCTTTAGGTAGCTGGTAGTAAAAATAATCTTCATAATTTTTTGTATAATTTTTGTACGACCAGTTTTGATTTAATAGCGGAAAATTACCCTCTCCCCTTTCTCATTAAATCACGTTCCCGCGCGTCTTTCAGACGGGGGTCGATCACTTTGCCATGAATCTACAAATACACATTTAAAAAAAATCAAATTGGAATATTGCTTTTGCTTCAAAAATATATTAACTTACAAATTTAAAAGTTCTCATATGTAAAGCGTATGTAAAGGTAGATTTTTAGGCAATTTTTGAATACCCCTACCACCCCCACCCCTTCCTTTTTTGCGTCGCAGACCATGAGCGTTTGACGAAACGTCGTTTACAGTGCAAATATACTAGTATTTCGTCATTTGAATCCCAGAGGTATGCATTAGTTTTTAAATTCATGAATGCAGAATAAATATTGACTACTGTTTTTATATGTATCAGGAAAAAATTACTGAAGGATTTTAGTGTTTAGTCCCTATATATATGTACATGTAGGCGTTATGCATTCCATATCACATGAAACCTGGATACGAATTCAAGTTATGTTGAACTTGAATATGTTCATTTTTAATTTTATTTCTTTAATTTTATTTATAAAAAAAATAGTGTATGTTCAACTCTCCTGTGGTATAAATGGAAATAATTGTAGTTTCTTTCACATGTTTCATGCCATTATTTCAAACGAGACAGTATGTGGCCGTGGGGATACATCGACATTTGCATAGATGTACACCCCTCATGATATAATTGTACGCATTCTTTCAATGTCGTTGCTTTTAAAGTTAAAATGAAAATTCCGTGTTCGTCCTCATTAACTTCAAAATATCAAACATTTCAACTTATATCAAATCGCATATTGATATTTTTAAAAATCTTATAAGCTACGTTTTGTTTTGATTCGAGGAAATGCGAACCGACATTGTTGACAGTGACAGAAAGTCAAACGATTTGCTGCAACAGGATATTCATAAATGCAGATAATTTCAGTAGTAGTGAACATTTCTTTTCAATTCTAAACTTACATTGTGTATATGAGGTCTATAGTATTCAATTCTCGGATTTATCAGGTCTTGCTGTAAATGTATCCGATTCTGTGGAAAACCGTGAATAAAGGGAGGAAAATAAACATCTCCTACATTTTCAGAGTTGTTCCTCTTTGATCAGTAAGGGTCTGAGAACAACATCGATTTTACATTGTAAAAAGTTTGTTGTTTTATTTAATTAAAGAAGAAAAACAATATCTATATCGTAAATGCACAATTTGTAATGAAAACCATTAATCGGAATGTTATATAGCCAATATTGTACATAATGAGAATTTTGGCAATGTCAAATAAAATTTTCAGAATAAAAAAATGCTGCGCTTTGATCAAGAATACAATTTTATTATTGTATATGAAATGAAATAAACATTAAGGGATGGTATTTTATGTCTTGCTTTTTACGGAGTTTAATAAGGTTAATTAAAAAAATACTTATTGATTGAGTATGGTACTCATTATCACAGCCAAGCCCCATATCCCATTTTTCTTTATGATTGATATAATACATCGGGATCGTTTTACTCGTCATTTTGACGCTTTATTTTTGACGTTAAATTTGACGTCACATCAAACCTTCAATTGAAATCGCAAGAGTTATCTCCCCCAGTGTGTTGTACGTCTTTAATGCTTTTTTATGTCTTTCTATATTAGTTTAACATAATAAAAATATATTTTGAATAAATTGTGTACCCGGTATGTTCTTTACTTTAGAAGTAATTTTAATTTTTGATTTCAGGTTACGGTTTATCGTTTGATCCGGACGATCCCGATCTAATTTAACTTCAAATGTTTCATTTTTAATGTGAAAAATATTGAGTTTTTCGTAATGCAGTTATTTAACTTTTGATAAATAAAATTAAGTTGAAATTAATAAGTCTGAAACAAAATAATAATCGAGATCGGGGTGTTAATAATCTTTAAAGCATTGAATCATGGTTGTTGCTTTCTTGTCAAAATATTGCTAAAAAACAAATATTTGGGACAAATGTTTCAATATTATTTTATAATACTGCTTAATCAAGTTGTTTATACATAAATGAACAGTCTAATTATATTAAAATGTATGATTTTTGTAGCGTACTCAGAAGTACTTTAGCGTACTCTGTTTAGTAGTACCCGTTGTACTTATACACTCTTACATTTGGGAATTAAATATGCATGATATAAGGGAAAAATATGTAAATTGAATAATGTGTAACTGTTAAATATTGACCGAATTATTATAATATTATTTTGTCATACAATCCTGTACGACATCTGAATTGAGAGCGTAAGTTATCACCATAGTTATTTACGACATATGAACAGACCGATATTATCATGAAAACATTTTTAGAACTACTATAATCTTTAAAAAATCACTTAAGACTCCAAAGTGCAATGGGACTCCAAAGTCCGATGGTCATGCCAAAGTCCGATGGTCTGCTCCAAACCCCGATGGTTTGACACGCCAGAGTCTGATGGTGCTGAAAACAATTAACGTTTATGACGTCATAGTGCTACTTCGCAAAAATGCAATGCCGCGCCATGCCAAGGGCCTATTTTTCAAAATAAATACACAATAGATATTAAATGCAAAGATTAAGCCTAATCTTTTGGATATAGGTGCGAGACTAACACTTATCAGTCGAAAATTGTGTAACAAGTATAAGCTAGATATCTTGGATGGGTGCATGACGAACCCAAATCAGTCCAATAGTGTGCGAGGACTACCCATAAAATCTCTCGGGTGAGTTCGCAGAAACACATTGGTGTTCAAGAACTAACCCTTATCAGTCAAGTGGTGTTCAAGGACTGACCCTTATAGCTCTGGTGGGCAAAAACAATAAGCAAAATCAGTAAAATTGTATGCGAGACAAATATTAAATCAATGGATCATGACGTCGTACTATTGTGACATCATAAACGTTGATTGTTCCTTCGCACCATCAGACTTTGGCGTATCTGACCATCGCACTTTAGTGCAATGTGTCTCATAGGAAACGAGCCATTGGACATTGGTTTGACCATCGGACTTTGGTGACCGTAAAGACAGCGAGCCATCGGGGTTTGGCACAGACCATCGGGTTTGGCGAGACCATCGGACTTTGGCGTCACCATTGCACTTTGGAGTCTTACATATATAAGGTGTTATGTTATGTTAACAAAGAGAAGTTGCAATGTCAGTATAAACTTGTTTTTGCCAATTTTTATGTGAACTTTTAATATCTGACCTGAGATTTCCCCCTCTAATTGGACGCTGCGAATTCCCAGATGTCATAATGGTGCCCATTCTGACATTTTCTTGGTACATAATATATCAAAATTGTTTTTTTAAAAAGCCTTGAAAACAGATATTTCGGATTAAAGAAATTTTAAAAGACCTTTTTACCAATACTGTATTTAATAGTGTAATTTCGCATCATGCAGAGCGTGTAAATACATGTAGTTTTTTTATTACAAATATGAATGACAGAAGTTTATAAAATGATCTTTTTCTCTGTCTCTGAAAAATTGTTAAGAACAATTTTGCAACAGAAAATTTTGACATTGAAATTTCAGCTCATGGTGCTTTAATTCACATTAAATCATATTCAAATTGAACAAGTGACATTAAAAGAACTGTTTAAAGTATAAATTTTATGTTCTAACTGTAAAAAATATGTACTTTGAAGTAGTTTCTTTTTCTTGAGATCCAATTTCAATGACGTGATTTTCCAATCGGTGAAGCATTACATGCTGATGTACATCTCAAATTATGCATACATTAAGTTAAGGTTTAAAAAAAATAAATGCAGGTAAGTTTCTTTTAAATGCTCACTTACTTTTAAAATCTATAATATAAACATGAAATATGCAGTCCACTGTTTGTAATTTTAAGCTCTACTGGTGAGAGCTAATGCCCTAGTAAGGTGTCCATCCATCTGTCTGTCTATCCATTTTTCTGTAAACAATTTTTCAAAACACTAACCCCTCCCAGGTTTGGTCTTATTTTAATTTTACTTGGCTCACAAGTAGACTGCACTTGTCTATAAGACACATAATTAAGTGCATTGATTTTTATTTTTGATGATTGCAGTGATACCATGGTTACTAAAAATAGAAATATTGTTGATGTTTCTAATGCTACTCCTTTAACAGTTTTGATCAGTTCCAATATAACTTACCACACAAGACCAGTAGACTACACTAAGATACATATCTTAGAGCATTCGTTTTTAGCTCACCTCAACGAAGTTGGGGGGAGCTTATGTGATACCCTCGGCATCGGCGTCAGTGTCGGCATCGGCGTCCCGGGTTAAGGTTAAGTTTTTTGGAACAGTTTTCTTTTCAAGTACTTCTGTGTCCTATATTGATTAGACATGCATGGAAGATGTTTCTAATGTGTTTCATTGTACCAGTCAAAGTTTCAGATGCTGCAATTTCAGCAAAGGAATGACCAGGTTAATGTTTTTGGTGCAGGTGGTAACATTTTTGGTGCAGTTTTTGGTGTAGGTCTCATTTCCAAGTAACTATAAGCCCTATGTTGACCAAACTTACATGGATGGTACATCTTAGGATGCATACTACCAGACTTGCTTCGGATGCTGAATCTGACCTACATTTTCCGGTTGAGTGAACAGGTTAAAGTTTTTGGTGCAGGTTTCATTTCGAAGATACTATGAGCCCTATAATGACCAAACTTGCATGGATGGTACATCTTAGGATGCATTCTACTAGACTTGCTTCGGATGCTGAATCTGACCTACATTTTCCGGTTGAGTGAACAGGTTAAAGTTTTTGGTGCAGGTTTCATTTCCAAGTTTCTATGAGACATATAATGACCAAACTTGCATGGATGGTACATCTTAAGGTGCATACTACCAGTCTTGCTTCGGATGCTGAATCTGACCTACATTTTCCGGTTGCGTGAACAGAAAGTTTTTGGTGCAGGTTTCATTTCCAAGTTACTATGAGACATATAATGACCAAACTTGCATGGATGGTACATCTAAGGGTGCATTCTACTAGGCTGGCTTCAGAAGCTGAATCTGACCTACATTTTCCGGATTAGTGAAAAGGTAAGTATATAACTTTGAGCTCTATGTTGAACAAACTTGCATGGATGATACATCTTAGGATGCACACTAATGGACTTGCTTCAGATGCTGAATTCGACATACGTTTTCCAGATAATAGACCTCGTAAAAGTTATGGGTGCAGGTCTATCACCAAGAAACTATAAGGCTTATATAAACCAAAGTTGCACAAATGATGCATCAAGGGATGAAAACTCTCAATCTTGCTTCAGATGCTGGATTTTAATTACATTTTCATGATGAAGAACTAGTTTTAAGTTTTTATATAGGTCTATTCCAAAGTATCAAAATTGCATAAATTTTGCATTTTTGGATGTACACTTTTTGTTGGTTAATTGTGTGACTTAATTTGCCTTACTACTTAAAGACAACATTCGTTGAGGTGAGCTCTGTAATCTCTGATTACCTATGTTTTGTTATGATGAACAGTGTTGTCGGGGTTTCTAAAAACAGAAATTTCTCTAAATTTCCTTTATAATGCTTCTTCTCTTACATTTTTTGTTTTATTGTGATATAACTTTATTTGGAGCATTAGGTGACTTTATAGTATATAAGATAAAAGTTTTAGTGCATCTGCTTTTGATTTTGATGAGCAGTGTTCTGTTGCTTTTGCATGGTTTCAAGTACAAGTGCTACTTTTCCTTTGTTTTGAATGCAAACCCATAGAGCTACAGTTTCATTTGAGACTCCTGGTTATCTTTATATTCCAGTTGTTGTTTATAACAGTCTTTAGCTGCAATAATGTAGCCCTCTCTGATTTTTTTGTCCCCCGCTTGAAAAGTGGGGGATATTAATTTGGGTTTGTCCGTCCGTCTGTCTGTCTAGCTGTCCGTCTGTCCGTCCGTCCGTCTGTCTGTGCAATCGTGTCTGGTCCATATCTTTCTTACAGAGGACATTAGAATTTACTACTCCACACTAAGATTGCCCATGACCCAAGGGTGTGTCATGACCTTGACCCAAGGTCATTTGGGAAAGTTCAAGGTCACTGGAAGAAAATTTTCATAAATCATGTTTGATACATATCTTTTATGGATAAACTTGGTAGGTTCTCATTTCACACAAAGATTGCCCATGACCCAAGGATGTGTCATGACCTTGACCCAAGGTCATCTGGGGAAGTTCAAGGTCACTGGAAGAAAAATATCATAATTCGTGTCCTATCCATGTCTTTCTTATGGATAAACTTGGTAGGTTTTCATTTCACACAAAGATTGCCCATGACCCAAGGGTGTGTCATGACCTTGACCCAAGGTTATTTGGGGAAGTTAAAGGTCACTGGAAGAAAAAATTTCATAATTCAAGTCCAGTCCATATCTTTCTTATGGATAAACTTGGTAGGTTCTCATTTCACTGAAAGATTGCCCATGACCCAAGGGTGTGTCATGACCTTGACCCAAGGTTATTTGGGGAAGTTCAAGGTCACTGGTAGAAAAATTTCATAATTCGTGTTTGATATATATCTTTATTATGGAAAAACTTACTTCTGAAAAACCCAGCGGGGGGTATTTTGTCCTGTTTGGACAGTTCTAGTTATACCAACATTTAAGGAGACACTATGATGCAAAAATGGAAAAATTGACAAACATAGAATTTTTGCATGACCCTTGCATGACCCCATAATGAAAGTATTGCTTTACTATTGTACTCATGTGCAGAAAAGTTGATAAGTTTCAATGGTTACAATGTGTTCTCTTCTCTTTCTAGATGTTTGGTAAGATAGCCTGTGATACTAAGAAGAGGTCCAAAGTAATTAACTAAGGAATCCACAATGACTAAAGAATTAATAATGACTGAGGAAAAGCCAAGGCGTTGTTCTGGTTTGTTCAGCATCCGTACTTGTATTTACATACTCGCAGGGCTATCCATTATTGTTCTGATTAACATGCTCAATGCTAACAATCATTTGACTTCACTGATCCTGCTTTCCAAGCAACTTAGAGATGGGTTCAAACAGTTTGTGAACTACAATAGCAGTTCTGATATGCAACATGATGGTCAGAGCAATTCTTATATAATTACAGCAATTCAATCCGGATCAGGCAGCACCGTTTCAGGATTAACCCCAGGCAACAGGGTCACACCCCAGAAAACGATTCAGACTCGCAAAACCACTATCAAACCAACAACTTTAAAAGTAACTACAAAAGCTCAGCCAGCACAGCCAACCCCGAGACCTGATGATTGTAAATTCTGCTTTGAACACAACTTCAAATATGTCATAGATAATGAACATATATGTGACTCTGGAGATGGCAAGAGTAATGTGGAGATAATTGTCCTTATTCTGACCGTGCATGCTAACAGAGAAGCAAGAGACACTCTCCGTCAAACCTGGCTAACTCCAACCAAAAACAACACATCTGACATTAGATACGCATTCCTACTAGGCAACACAAAAGATCAAAATCTCCAGAAAAAAGTGGAAGCTGAAAACACAATTTTCCATGATATCCTCCAAGAGGACTTTGTTGATGCATATATGAATCTGACATACAAGACCATAATGGCTTTCAAGTGGGCAAGCACTAAGTGTAAACAGGCAAAGTTTGTAATGAAGACAGATGATGATATGTATGTCAATTTAGAAGGAGTGAAACACGTGGTATCTGTTCACGGGAATAGCCTTCAGACTGCTGTGGGAGGAGCTTGTCATATGTCTGCTGGACCAATCAGAGACAAAAATTCTAAATGGTATGCATCAAAGTTAAGTTATCCAAGGAATACTTATCCAGGTTTTTGCTCTGGGACAGGCTATGTTACAAGTATGAATGTGGCTACAAAGATTTATGAAACTTCAAAGAATGTTCCTTTCTTTCACTTGGAAGATGTTTATGTTGCTCTGTGTATCAAGAAACTGGGTTACAAACTGAAACCTATCGCAGGATTTAACTCTGGCCGTACACCACCGGGTTGTGCATACAAGACAAAGAACGTTGTGACATCGCATTACATGGGTTTGCCATTGATCAGAAAGATGTGGAACTTGAAATGTTAAAATGTGATTGTTACAAATCTATAAATCCTTGTTTGTCTTGCTTGTGAGACAGAAGACAGCATTGAGAAAAAAGATCTTTAGAAATCCGCTGATACATTTTAAGAAATCCTTACTGATATAAATAACATGATTGAAATTCCAAAACAACCCTTTACAACCATTTTGTTTTATTTTTTTAAATGTGCACTTGTTTGATATTGCTTTCTGACCACCCTCATTTGAAATCCACATTTTTATTGTAATTATCCACCATTTGTGTACCCTGTGTTTTAGACATTGTAGTTTTTCTTTATATTCATTTCATACTTTTTTGTGATTTTACCATGTTTACATGATAGACATAATAAAACATACCCTTTTCCACATCACATCCTGTATCAGCTCTTGACGAATATATATCAGCCCTTGGGCCTTTGGCCCCCTAGCTGATATTGGCATTTCAGGCTGATACAGGATGTTATATGGGTGTGTATTATCGTCTATTTATATATGTGTATATTCTGTAATCAATGTTTTATACTTTGATTTTTTTAATTTGAAATCCTGACACAAATTAATTTTTATTGTTAAAAACAAAATGGTGATGTTAATTTTGTAATACTTCATACAGTATACACATGCAATGACTTTCAATACAATTTTCTTTCCAATCTGATTAATTTAGGATAAAAAATGCATTCTTTTTCTTTTATTTTTTTATCTTTTTTTAGTATGTTTACAACAAATACTGAATTTTTAAACAATACTGAAATCAGTACAGTGTAGTTTTGAAATGGTGTGAATTTTTTTAATTCTTAAAGGATTAAATTTACAATAGCAGAATTAATTTATCCAAAGAATATACCTACCTTATTTATATAAGCTTAGCTACTTAATTTAAGCCAAATATTTTGATTGAAATTGTCAAGAGTTCATTTGTCTGTTAATAATTTTTTGAACATTATGTTTCTCTCCACATTTTTTAAACTCAAAATACCACAAAGCTGGAGGATTAAGTCATTAAGATGAAGCAAATGTCTATACCAGGTACTTGATTTTTGCAGCTGTTCAAGTACCAGTTTATATATCTCAGTCTATGAATTTGCTCAGGCACATTGAGATAGCTAATTTTAACCTAAAATTTTCTCCAGATTTGGTACAAATGATTCCTAGTTGAAATGGGATTCTAAGTTGTTATAATGAAGGGCCAAGCCAGCCCTGAGAAGATGAAAGTTAAGTGGAATCTTTCTTAGCTAATTCAGATTATAAATTGTTCAAAAAATCATGGTCCCCAGGAGTAGGAAGGGTCACATTTAAGTTTTACATAGGAATACATAAGAAAAATCTCAAGAACCATTAGAAGAGGAAAGATGAAAATTATGTCAAAGCTTCCTAGAGTAATGTTGAAATATCATGGCCTCTAGGGGTCACATAGGACCACAATATGAATCATGTTTTATATGAAATAAGAAACCTTTAAAAATCTTTTTCTCAAGAATTAACCACCATACCAGAAAAGATGTAATCCAGATGAAAGCTCCTTGAGGCAGTATAGGTTCAGATCATGCTTGTAAGGGATAGGATGAGTCCATATTACATAGTTTACACAAGTAAAAATCTTAAAACTCTTCTAGAGCAAATCCAGTGATGAACTGCACATTTGAGTGGAAGCACCCTCTGATAGTGTAGATTTAGTTTTATTCAAATCACACTATATGGTGGGACCAAAGATGGCTTAATGTGACTTGGGTGAGTGTTGTGGCCCTAAATGTCTCTTGTTGGAGATTGTAATTAAGTTGTTAATACAATGAGCTCTTTGCAGAATGAGTCTATCTCAGCCATTATTTTATACCAAATTAATTTTTTTTTCAAAATGATATATACATGTATTTTCATATAGCATTACATAATGTTATCTTTATGCTTTGTTGTATTTGGATTTAAAGATGAATTAATTTAGAAATGCTTTTTGTTCACTTTTGTTTGTTTTTGACACACTTGAGGAGATATACATGTAACTATATCAGTATATTGAATATATAGATACATGTAAGGCCTAGAAAAAAATATGTTTGTTTCCGCTTTCAGGCTGAAAAAATATAGGGTAGGTAGGTAGGCAATTTTTTTTTTTTTTGAAAAATTTTTTTTGCTTCTTTAATCAAAACGTGTATAGAAGTAAAATTAATGACAAAAGAAATGGTGTTTTCAAGCATTACTGTGACTTAACTTATAATAGAAAGGTATATAAAAGCTTGCAAAGTATATAATTCCCTGGTTGAAATCTTGCACATCATGGGACAAAAGCATTAAAAAAATATTTAGGGTCGGCACTATAAATTAGGGTCGGTCGGGAAAGCGGAAACAAACATATTTTTTTTCTAGGCCTAATGGTATCCCCAACCAGTCTTCAAGAATTTTGAGAACAGGTTCACCAAAAGTAAGAAACACTCCAAAACTAGAATGTGTGCTTGCACACCAAAAAAATAAACGCAATTAAATTTTGTGAGAAGTTAATTTTTTTTCTTGTAAGAAGTATGAAAAGATAAACAAATTCAAGTCCACCACAATTTTATTTACATATATTACAAAACAAGTTAACAACAATTCTTCACCAAGAAATTTTAATTCTTCCAACCACAAAAACTGAACACACAAAAACGTACAGGCCTGCATATTGTTGAAAGATTATCTGTAGAACTGTAGTTTCTTGAAAAATTAACATATTGACGGAAGCTAGAACTACATTGAAAAAAGTGTATATTTATTGCGCACAAAAATGCACTGTTTAATTGTTGATTTTTTTCCACATGTTTTTCAAATAGTGTGTTCTTAGCATAAAAACTCACATGAGCTTGAAATTGCGCAGGAGTTAATTTTTTTAAATCATTTAAGAGGCAGTCCACTGAAAAACCAGGCAATGGGTGGCACATCGCATGTCACGGATTTAATTTTTTTTTTTTTTTTTTTTTTTTTTTTTGCATGTAGACTTATTAAATCAAGTGTTTACACATGACAACATCAAAAAAATTTTTAGTGCTCTTTCAGTCCTATTTTTGGTAAATGCGTAATTTTAAGTGCAAAAAGGTCAACATGAGGTTAAAAAAACTACGTTTTTATTTTGTTTTACTGTATATGTGACAGATACTCAAAAGCTGGATGTGTGGATGAATATTATTATACCCCACGCAACTAGTTGCGTGAGGTATAATGTTTTTGACCCGTCAGTCAGTCAGTCAGTCAGTCCTTTTTTTTGTCAGCGCAACTCCTCATAAACCGCTGCACAGAATTTCGTCAAACTTTGCAGGTATTTAGGACACAATGTGTAGATGTGCATATTACCAGGAAATTCCGATTCCCTTATTTTTTCCGGGAATTTCCGCACTTTTTAACTTAGGCATTTGGCCATATCTTGAATATAGAGATGAACAGTTTGTCAGCGCAACTCCTCATAAACCGCTGCACAGAATTTCGTCAAACTTTGCAGATATTTAGGACACAATATGTAGATGTGCATATTACCAGGAAATTCCGATTCCTCATTTTTTCCGGGAATTTCCGCACTTAGAGTTTGTCAGTGCGACCCCTCATAAACCGCTGCACAGAATTTCGTTAAACTTTGCAGATATTTAGGACACAATATGTAGATGTGCATATTACCAGGAAATTCCGATTCCTTTATTTTTTCTTAGAATTTCCACACTAAAAACTTAGGTTTTTGGCCATACTTTTTATACAGTTTGTCAGCGCAACTCCTCATAAACCGCTGCACAGAATTTCCTTAAACTTTGCAGATATTTAGGACACAATATGTAGATGTGCATATTATCAGGAAATTCCGATTCCTCTATTTTTTCTTAGAATTTCCGCACTAAAAACTTAGGTTTTTGGCCATACCTTTTATAGAGACATGAACAGTTTGTCAGCGCATCTCCTCATAAACCGCTGCACAGAATTTCGTCAAACTTTGCGATATTTAGGACACAATATGTAGATGTGCATATTACCAGGAAATTCCGATTCCTCATTTTTTCCGGGAATTTCCGCACTTAAAACTTAGGTTTTTGGCCATACATTTTGTACAGTTTGTCAGTGCGACCCCTCATAAACCGCTGCACAGAATTTCGTTAAACTTTGCAGATATTTAGGACACAATATGTAGATGTGCATATTACCAGGGAATTCCGATTCCTTTATTTTTTCTTAGAATTTCCACACTAAAAACTTAGGTTTTTGGCCATACTTTTTATACAGTTTGTCAGCGCAACTCCTCATAAACCGCTGCACAGAATTTCGTTAAACTTTGCAGATATTTAGGACACAATATGTAGATGTGCATATTATCAGGAAATTCCGATTCCTCTATTTTTTCTTAGAATTTCCGCACTAAAAACTTAGGTTTTTGGCCATACTTTTATAGAGACATGAACAGTTTGTCAGCGCAACTCCTCATAAACCGCTGCACAGAATTTCGTCAAACTTTGCAGGTATTTAGGACACAATATGCAGATGTGCATATTACCAGGAAATTCCGATTCCTTTATTTTTTCTCAGAATTTCTACACGTTTCAACTTAGATTTTTGGCCATACCTTGAATATAGAGATGAAGATTTTGTCAGCGCAACTCCTCATAAACCGCTGCACAGAATTTCGTCAATCTTTGGAGATATTTAGGACACAGTGTGTAGATGTGCATATTACCAGGAAATTCCGATTCCTTTATTTTTCTGGGAATTTTGGCACTTTTCAAATTAGATTTTTGGCCATACCTTGAATATAGAAATGAACATTTTGTCAGTGCGACCCTTCATAAACCGCTGCACAGAATTTTGTCAGACTTGGCAGATATTTAGGACACAATGTATAGATGTGCATTTTACCAGGAAATTCCGAGTCCTTTATTTTTCTTGGAATTTTGGCACTTTACAACTTAGATTTTTGGGGATATCTTGAATATAGTGATGAACAGTTTGTCAGCGCAACTCTTCACAAACCGCTGCACAGAATTTCATCAAACTTTGCAGATATTTAGGACACAATGTGTAGATATGCATATTACCGGGAAATTCGGATTCTTTCATTCTTTCCGGGATTTTCAGCACTTTGAGTTTTGGGGGAGCGTGGGGTATGTGAGCTTGCTCACTTTTTCTTTCATTTATAGCTTATATCTTATCTTTTATTTCATTAATAAATAAGACTCCAATTTATCTTTCTTTAGAAAAAATTATATGGTCCAAATTTCAATTTAGCAAATGACATTTTGAATTCAGTATCCAATTTTCATTACGTTATAAAACCCAATACAATACAAGGACAGATTTTTTTTCTTATGTTACTATGAATACAAGTACAAACTTTTGAATCACTCAATAAAATCAGTGGGAACAGGTATATTGAAAGAAATAAAAGGAATCAAATTTACCTATTTTTTATAATTTTCCCAAATGAAACTGATCCCGACCAGAATTATATAAAGAAGAAAATACTATAAACGTAATGTTAAATTTGGCTCTTTTGTTGTAATATGATTAAAAATTACTTGATTTATTTTTTTTTTACATGTTGTATAGGTGGCAGGTGCCTTTCGTTTGATAGATTTATTAATTTTGCATTATTTTCGATTGGGATCGGTTTTATTTCAATCGGGATCGGTTTTTAGCTCACCTGCGCCGAAGGCTCAAGTGAGCTTTTCTGATCACATTTTGTCCGTCTGTCTGTCTGTCTAGCTGTCTGTCCGTCTGTAAACTTTTCACATTTTCGACTTCTTCTCAAGAATCACTCTTCCAATTTTGACCAAACTTGGTACAAAGCATCCTTGGGTGAAGAGAAATTTAAATTGTGAAAATGAAGGGCCAAGTCCCCTCACAAGGGGAGATAATCAAGAAAAGACAAAAATATAGAGTGGGGTCATTAAAAAATCTTCTCAGGAACCACTGGGCCAGAAAAGCTGAAACGTATGTGAGAGCATCCTGGGGTAGTGTAAATTTTAAATCGTTCAAATCATGACCCCGGGGTTAGGGCGGGGCCACAATGGAGAATCAAAGATTTACATAGAAATATATAGGAAAAATCTTTGAAAATCTTCTTCTCAAGAACCACTGGACCACTGAAACTTATGTGGAAGCATCCTGGGATAGTGTAGATTCTAAATTATTCAAATCATGACCCCGGGGGTAGGGCAGGGCCACAATGGGGAATTAAAGTTTTACATAGAAATATATATGAAAATCTTTGAAAATCTTCTTCTCAAGAACCATTGGGCCAGAAGAGCTGAAATTTATGTGCACATGGAAGCATCCTGGGGTAGTGTAGATTTCAAAATGTCTAAACTATGATCATTGGAGTAGGGTGGGGTCGCAATATGTATTACAAGGGGGAAATCCTGGTAAAGAACAGAATGGTCAATTTGAAAGCTTCTCAGGTGAGCAAAGTGGTGGGCCTCTTGTTTACGTTAAATTTAGAAATATTTTCTAAACTTGGCTCTTCATTTTAATTTATTTGAAAATTATGCTTGTCTACTATTTCTTTTCAGTCAGTTTACTGTTTTTAAATTAGTGTAAATGTAAGATTACATGTAAAACATCTGTTTGATTTCTTTATGCTCGTTATTTAAAAAAAGTATTTAATTGCACATGCATGCATTATGCAACAGCTGAGAGCAGACAGCGTTCTAGCTTCATTTTTTCTTATTTCGAAGTAAAATTTCTTTTTTCATTTTCTCAGGAATTAAAGAGTTAAATTCAAACTTCTCAGGAAAACTTGTAACTACCGGTATTTCGTTGTGACGCCATATTTTTCAGGTATATGAGTTCAACCTGAATAATAAAGCCATTTTCATCTTAATTTTACGTTTGTAGGCAAAAATTAATTATATTTTGAAAATAAATTAGTTATTTTTTGTTTAATAATTTTCTGTAATGTATCGATTCTAAATATTTCACTAGGATTCCGATAAAAAGGTGTTTAGCAGATGTTTGC